ACTGACCATGCCGTGCCGGTAGAGTTCCGGTAGGCCGATCCCTCAACTGAGGCGGATACCGGTACTTATACCGGTGGGCAATGGTCTGGCCTCAATGCTGCGAGGCCAGGCCAGACCCTGAACCGTCCAGATGGACGGTTCAGCCTCAATCGGCGGGMRGCAGCTTCAAGAGCGCCGCCAGGCCCAAACGAAGTGTCGTTTGGGCCTACCCGATGGGTGACAGTCCAAGATCAGGCCTTTAGGGCCTGTAACCCCAAAGGTCGGGCCTTTAGGGCCTGGTGTGTCACTCCGGCCCTAAGTCGGGTCCAGTAGGACCCGTGTGAGTCGAAGATGTAACATATAGCCTATAGCCGGGCAGGGAGAGGCCCTAGAGGCCGAAACTGAAACGGTACCGGTCAGTCCTACCAGTCCGGTCTAGGTCATGTCTAGGCTAGGGTAGACAATGAATAGGTTTAGACTCTAGAGTAGACTGTTCGGGGCTTTTGGCGGTTAGTACCGTGTACGTTGCTGCTGTGCAATGCATGAACTGGAAGTGGTGACAGCCTCAGCGTTGGAGAAGATGGACATAGCTGGACCTGCGAAGTGTCGGCCATAGCTGGTACCAGCGCTGTACTCTGACAGCACGCGGGGCTGTTCAGAGGTCCGGGCTATCTGAAGTCTGCTGGAGGCGAGAGAAGTTGGTGCCCTGCTGGACCCTCCTCAGGAGTAGGGCTTCAGGGTGTTCGGCGCTGCAGCCATAGCTGCACCTTCCATCCTCAGAGATCATCTTTGTCAGGAGAGATGGCGCTGCTACAGATTTCCACTTGGGAGGTCTTCAGGCACTTCATCTTCATCAGACACTGTGGCGCTGGTCTTCTTCTTCATCCTCTGAGAGGCGCTTGGCCTCAGAGGCCTGTTTCAGGGTGGCGCTTCCCTCTGGAGGCAGTATCTGGGTGGCGCTGTTTGTTTCAGGGACCTCAGGGGTAGTATAGCGGTTACTCAGGGTTGGGGACTGAAGCGCTGCTCATTTCTGAGCAGCGCACCATGGTTCTGGGGTTATCCTGACATTTTTAATAAACAGTGTTTATACTGTGTGTGGACTATCATTGCTTCATTGTTTCCTGGATGTGATCTACTCGGCTTTCCTTTGTGACTGGTTGTGAGGATTCAGTGGGAGCGAATTGCACTTTCAGTGTTATCTGTCATATCGCATGGTCAAGTCTTCCTCTGTGTTTATTTCTCCCTGTGCGGTGTGATACTCCCATCCTCTCCCCTTCCTTCTTTGTATGTATGGGCATACCTGGAAGTCTATGTGAGTGAGTGTTGGTCTTCTGACGACAAACAACCAGGTTCATAACACTTCGCTCAGAGGGAATAGAACGTACCTCATGTAAACATCATACTGCCGTCTCCAGAGATGCCATCGCCCATGTGCCTCTCCAATAACCTGTGCATATCCACCAGTGCTGACTAGAGTTAAATGAAAACACTGTTACACAGTCAAATCAGTTACATATACTGTCCACTGAAACACAGATGAATAAGTTACAGAATCATATACAGATACAGATAGTGTTAAGTGAAACACAGTCAAATCAGTTACATAATACACAGTGTTGAATGAATCATAGTCTATGTTACCAGAGTGGCCCGGGACCACTTGCCTGGACGGGTCAAAAATGGACAACAAACGACGGGCTGTGACAAACTGTTTCGCTGGAGTTTCACCAACTCGTCAGGAGGTTGCAATATATATTGTCACAGAACTATTGACTAAGAGCGTAAGCACGTCAAGTAGAAGAAGAAATAAGATGAGCGGAGAAAAGACAAATGAAAGGACAGACAGGCAAAGAGACAGACAAACCAGACTGACACAAACCAGTGTCCTCTCATTCTTTGTTTCACTGCATTCTTATTTCTCAGTGTCTTACAAAAAAAAAAAAATTACACTGAACAACGGATAAAAATAAAAAACAAAGACACATTGAAATCATTCAGTTTCTCAGTCTTCTTAACGCCTCCTCCACCGTGCCTCTAACGTACAAGGCTCACCACGTTGATGAAGTTGAGCGCAAGCTACCCCCATCCCCGTATGCCATAACAGCCCACTTGCACGCTATGGTAAAGAGGCAGAGTGAAGGAAGAGGTGTTAAACACAAGGAAGAGAGGAGCAGAAAAGGAAAACCAATAGGCAGAGGGAGAAAAAATAAAAAATGTTGACACAAACATCTTCTTTCTTTTACTGCATTCTTCTTTCGTTCACAGTTTTGCAGTTCTAATGAAGAGTCTACCACGTTCGCTTTTCAGCGCACCTGCACTTCTTCATTTTTCATTCTCATTTTCACCCTTTGAACTTTTCCTTTGAGGGTGTTAGGGTGCACGGTACAAACAAAGTAAAATGACACAAACTTATGTTCTTCTTTTACTGCATTCCTCACTGTTTTGCAGTTTTAGTGAAGGGTTTCCCACCTTTGCACATTCTTGTACACTCTTTTCAGCACACCTGCACGTTTTTGTCAGGGTGCAAGGTTCGTCTAAGTAAGACCCTCATGACATACAGCTGTCTTCTCCTCATATGGGGCACGGTTTTTTCTTTTTCTTTTTTTCTTTTTTACCTACCTTATTTTCTTCTCTCTTGCGGAGTCTTGCCTCACACTAGCTACCCATATCTATACCCTACCCACAAGCCCCACAAGGCAGATGATGGATCACATCTCTTCAGGAAGAGCAGCTACTACCCCAGACAAGCAAAGGGGTACAAGAGCCTATTCGCACACTAAGGAACTAGGATCTAGGGCTAGGGTCTAAGGCTACCTTAAATTTACTAACCAGAACTAAGCTACCCTAAGGTTATGGGTTTAACTTTACGCCTACCTATCTCTGCTCTGTGCGGGGGAGCAGTACCCAAGCTTGTTACGCCCAGCGCAAGCTGGAAAGAATCACTTCCACAACCAGCCAGGAGGCCCAAGCCAACAATCTCCGCTGGTGAACCCGAAGCATACCCCGGGAGGCCGCGGGGATTGAAAGGACGACGTTGAGTATCGAACCCACGACCTCCTGAGTGCCACTTACGTGCTCAACCAACTGAGGTAGGCCACTTTCATTTTTACGATTTGGCGAAGACTTTTAATCCGACCCTGAGACAAAAGTTGTTCAGTTTATTTTCTTGCACAACATAGTTTTTTCTCAGATTTTTTTTATTTTCTTTTTCTTTTTTTAACACTAACCTTCTCTGGTCCGTGCCTGGAAGGGGCACCCGGACAACCATGGTGACCGGGGTGGCCCGGTTGGTAACAACAGATCACAGTCAACTAAGTTACACAGTGTTAAATGAAACACAGTCAAATCACATTGAAATCAGCTAAAGGTAGTGTTAAATGAAACAGGGTGCAATCAGGTAAATATACTGTTAAATAAACTTTAACGAAACAGTCAAATGTCCTTCGGGACATCCATTAAAATGGGAATGATAGAGTGAAGACTACCGCCTTCCCCCAGTGTTAAATGATAGAGTGCAAATTTGCAAAATGATGATTTTGAGATGGGGAAGAAACAAATTGAAAGCATGACAACTATTTACTCAACGTACTGCTGAACCCCCATAATAGAGGGACAACATTAAAACCGTAAAACCTCTTTGCCCCGAGTCCCAGAGCCCCAGAATTCCCAGAGTCCCAGAATCCCTCAGCTCTGTCCCAAAATGGTTATAACTCTGTACACAACCACATAACCAGGCAGATACAGATCTTGAGACCAATGACATCGGCTGTTGACACTCCTTCTGCTTTTTGTACACGTCCACCGAAGCCGTGAACTGAGTGCCCCAACACTTATAATCCACACATAACCACCCCTGTCATCCATCAATCTGCACAGACATACGTGAACACACACACACACACACACACACACACACACACACACACAAAACACACACACACACCTAAAACACGCACACACAAACACGCATGCACTCTTCTGTTGACAGATCCAGTATTCTGATCTTTAACAACCACCAGTACATCCAAGCGTCTTTTTCCCAAACGTGGATCCAGCCGAAGCGGCACACCGCATGATTTACTTGGTGATGCTCACCTTTTCTGTGCAATAGGCCAAGCCCCTAGGGGAGCAGTGTGTTAATCGCCGCGTCGGAACAAAACAGTCAGGAAACGCACTGGTAGTCTTAAGGGATATCTGCTGCTATCCACAAATTAAAATCCTTGTTGCAATCTGCAAAATACTATATCAGTCGCTATCCAGTGCATTCACAAAGTAAAACATTTGTTGCTATCCACAAAGTAAGACAGGCTGGAGAAAGGGATAGTGGCCCGGGCAGGGAGGGTTTGGGGTTTTCGAAGCAAAAGTGGGGGCTTAGCAGAGAGTTAAAAAAATAAAAATAAAATGAAATGAAGACAAGCTGGACAAATGAGAGGTGGAGCAACGGGAAGAGTAAAGAGGAAGAGGGGAGGAAAAAACGGAGAAGAATAAATGCGAGGTATTCTTACCTCGCCATCAACTTCAATGTAAATTGAACTTTTGACAAGATATGGCGGCCTTCGGAGCTGATGAGAGAGAGAGAGAGAGAGAGAGAGAGAGAGAGAGAGAGAGAGAGAGAGAGAGAGAGAGAGAGAGAGAGAGAGAGAGAGAGAGAGAGAG